GGTTTTATGATTTTCCCTGCTCCAACACACCTGATTCAGACATTGAATTACCAAGTTCTGCAGTATGGACGACCGACACTGACATAACCTGAAAAAAAAAGCAGAAACATATAAATGAACCAATAAATAAAGTCAATTAAAAATGTGCCAATTAAATTAAAAAAGGAGAGCTTTATCTCATGTTTTATAATTTAATTGACCTTCATATTTATTTTTCCAACATAGTTCCAACTAACAATATATTTTTGCACATAATTTACACTTTACGTTTTTGCAAAAATATATTATTAGTTGGAACTAAGTTGGAAAAATAAATATGAAGGTCAATTAAATTATAAAACATGAGATAAAGCTCTCCTTTTTTAATTTAATTGGCACATTTTTAATTGAATTTATTTATTAGTCCATTTATATATTTCTGTTTTTTTTTCTAGTTATGTCAGTGTCGGTCTTCCATACTGCAGAACTTGGTAATTCAATGTCTGAATCAGGTGTGTTGGAGCAGGGAAAATCATAAAACCTGTAGGGCTGCGGCCCTCGAGGACCAGGATTGCCCACCCCTGCTCCAGACCATCAAGTGCCCCTGTCRAACCCGCATTTTTTTTGTTATGCTCCATCTGTCGCCCTTGGTTGCACTTCTTAAGTGTACAACTATAATGGCAGCAGTATTAATATTATTAATAATAATATTGCCCTCACACCCTCCCTTCACCACACACACGTGCGCGCCCGCAGAGCTCTCTCCTGCGCTGKCCCTCTGTGAACGCACTGCGCGCTCGTGAGAGAGGAGAGCTGCTGAAGCAGCTCCTCTCTATAACCAGCAGGTAATTTACCCCCAGGCAAACTGTGCGGGACTGTCTCGCATTTTTCACTCTTCTCCATGCGTCGCGCAAGTTGAAACAAAGTCCGCATTCCACTGATCAAATTATGAAAAGACAAAAAAAAAGGAAGAAAAAAAAAGAAAGGGAAACAATCGAGAGACGTTTTTTATTGGCTGCAGTGTACAACCATTAGAAAATGCCTTATTTCTCTCTCTACATTCTGTGCAGAAGGAGGAGAGAAGAAAAAAGGCAAAGACGCAGCAGCTGCCAGTCAAACACACGCAGCAGYGTGTCCTGCGCATCGCCGCCACTAATAAATATCTAAACATGTGAAAGAAAATGGATTTTATTTATGCAGAGTGTGATGGAAATTATGTCAAAAATGCAGCAAAATAACTGGAAAATAGGTGATGAAAGTGAAAAATGATTCTCAGAGAGAAAACTGCCAAACTTTTTTTTCCTGAAGGAAAACGGTCAGTGTATCTTTTGGTCATTGGATTTTCATTTTCGAAACGGGTATTAAAAACAAGAAACGAGTGGATATTTGACTTTTGTTTTAAAATACTAAAATTAAAATGTAAAGCGTTTCTCATTCTTAGTGTCAAAAAGGGATGAGCGAAATTTTTAAAATGATTTGAGTTTCATTTTCTGTTTCAGATAACAAAAAAGAAAATTAATTTAAGGCAGAAACRAAWAAAGRCTTGTTTGTTCATAATCCATGACAGGTCGTTCCAACTTACTGTMTCCCTACAATAAACTGTTTCACCACCAGGAGGGGTGTCTGCAATATCAAAGTTACTCAATAAACACCTCATTACAAGTAAAAAGCATTGATACTGACTTTGGTATCAAATAAATTTGCTAAGTATTTATTTGGTATCAGATCAATATCAAAGTTGTAATACCGCCCACCCTTCGATGAAAGGGACACTCAGAGGATGCAAACTGATGGAAAAAAGCACTGATTTTGTCAAAACTCAGGAGGAAAAAAAACCCTTTGTGCTCACAGAACAACAACTGTACAACACACTAATGGAATGAAATTGATCTTATTTTGCTTTTTATTGAGAAAATGGAGATGAAACATGGAGGCAGTAGCTGACATGTATTCAGTAAAAGAGACTTAKTTGGCCAAAAACCACATGAATTACCTCTGCAGCCTTTGGTCACTGAGCAACGGTCATCATACAACTTATTTATGGACAYACTTCTCTGTGTTTCAGCCTCTTATTTACAGAAATTAGTGTTTCATTATGCAGAGCTGTCAGGCGAGCGCCCCTTCTGGTGGGGGAATAAATAGTCATAGAATACAAATAAACAAGCCTTTTTCCGTTTTGTTTATCTCCTTTCGACACTAAGAATGAGAATGGCTTTGTATTTTAATTTTAATGTCAGTATTTTAAAACAAAAATCAAATATCCACTCATTTCTTGTTTTTTAATACCCATTTCACAAATGAAAATCCAATGACCAAAAGATACACGGACCAAAAACACACSGTGAAGATTCACACAAGAGACTTAGAGTTCAGAAAGCTGTCTGTCCGTCTGTGGACAGACAGATAACAGCACAGATCATCTGACCTGCTTATGGTTTTAATTTTTTATCATGATAAAAAAAAAACTTTAAATATTTTTTAACCAAAGCATTTTTTTTGATAAATTTTAAAATGTATTCAATAACAATATGTACTTTTTTTCTTAAAAACCTTTAAAAAAACATTGTTGTATAATAACAGCCA